CAGGCGTGGTCAAAGGAGTACATGAAGCTTCTTTTCCCTGACATGAAGTGGAAGGGGAGCCAGCGGTGGTCGGAGCGGTTCCGGAAACGGTGGAATCTGAGCGTGCGCATGAAGACGAAGATTGCCCAGAAACCGCCGCACATAAGATCGTGTTTTCATTATGCCGTGTGCTTATTGTGTTGATTTACGATTTACGATTGTGACTAACCCATGTATCTTCCCACTGTCCATGCGTGCGCAGATATCGCGGAGCAGTGCCAGAAGTTCTGGCAGTTCGTGCGGGGACAAGCGGCATGAGCGCAGCATCGAAACCCGCTGGATTATCAACCCCGACCAGACGCCGCTCTGGCTGGAGATGCCCGCCACCACCACTGTGGACCAGACGGGTGTTCGCTCGGTGCCCATCAGAAGCGGTACCAGAAGGAACGCGTGACCGTCATGTTGGCATGCACGGCCGACAGGGAGAATCTCAAGTCGAGGGTCTTCTTCAAGCGCAAGACAGTGCCGAAGGGTGAATTCCCGCCAGGTAAATGCATAGCCCCTCTTGCTATGTGTTGAATTTATCACGTGTTGTAACTACCACCGATCTTTTTACTGCTCTAGGTATTACAGATGTGGTCGTGGCGGTCCACCCGAACGGCCGGATGGACGTCGACGGCGTCATGCGCTGGCTTGACGAGTGCATCAAGCCCTTCACCCGGCCCCAGTGCAGGGAGGCGAGGAGCGCCATGGTCGTTCTGGATTCTTACAACGGGCACCTCACGGACGCCGTGAAGGAGAAGTTCGCCGACCTAGACATCGTGCCGGCGGTCATCCCGTCAGGCTGTACGGCTGAGGTACAACCCCTCGACGTTTCGATCAACAAGTCCTTCAAGGCCTCCATCCACCAGCAGTACAAGAGCTGGTTTGAGGAGGAGGGCCAAGAGCGGCTGACGCCTGTGGGTAAGACCCCCCTACCGTTGGCATTTTTAGAGAGGCTAGAATCCCCCCTCGTATGTTCTAACGGTATCTCCCGTTCTCTGACATGTGGTGCAGGGAACATCAAGAAGCCGCCCCCTGCGGTGGTGCTCAGGTGGATCTCGCTTTCCTGGAAGGCCGTGCCACCTGAGCTTATCAAGAAGGCCTTCCTCACCTGTGGCATCAACAACGCGCTTGACGGAAGTGAAGACGGCCTCGCCATGGCGCACATGCGTTACTATCCGAAGCGATGCGGTATCAAAATTACCTACCAGGGCCTCATATTATTTTACTGAAGTTACTATCCGCCAGGGGCTCTCAGCTGTCTTCAGTTGGCGTGCGATCCTTCCAGCGAACGAGGAACTCGATCCTCTTCATTCATGTAGGGTGGCAGATCCGGTAACTCAGAATTTTCGCGGGCTCGACGATCGGCTCAGATGCAGGGCGAGTCATGGACGATGGGCGATGACATGGCTGTTGACTTGGCGAAGCAAGCTGACGTGGAACGATGGGCTGATGTACCAGTCGGCCAGTAACAGTAGATGGGCGGTGACTAGGGTGATCATGTGGTTGATTTAGAACGGTCCACAGTAGCGCGGTCGAAATTCCGGTTTGACAGGCGGTTTTAAATTCTGTGTGTCGAGCAGTACATGATCCCCTGACTTGTAGTTACCGAGTGGCGGTGGCGGTCAGCATTTCTCTTTGCGATAATGTTGGCCTTTCTTAATGTATTTGTTGCTCGCGTTCGGGCAGCTTGCAGAATTTCGGCGAACTGTTGAGCACTTAACGTTGGGTTGTCGGGGCTCAGCGTCATGGGCACTCTTAAGTTTTGCCCATAGTTCAGGTAGAACGGGGATTGCTGCGTCGTTGCTGACGTGGCGTTGTTGTAGGCGTTGTTGGAGGCGAACTCGATCAGCGGCAATTGCTGCTCCCATGTTGTCGGGTCGTCGCACGTGGCACGAATCAGCTGCTTCATGGTCTGGTTCGTCCGCTCCGTTTGATCGTCGGTGTCGGGGTGGTACAACGTACTGAACAATAGCCTGGTCCCGAACTGCTCCCAGAGGTTCTTCAAGAAGTTGCTGGTGAACTTCGTCTCGTAGTCGCTGGTTATCGCGGCTGGTATCACGTGCAGTTGAACGACGGTTGTGATGAACAGGCGGGCGTTGTCTTCGACGGTGATCGATTTCCTGCACGCAGTGAAGTGAGCCATTTTCGTCAGACGGGCGTGAATCTAACCCTGTGATGAAATCCAAGGTAACCTGCTGCCAAGCTCGCTCGGGCGGTGGGATCGGCTGCATTTGACCTGCCTTTCTCTTGTTCGAGCTTTTCATCCCCTAACACGTGGGACACGACCCTACGTGGTGCTGTACATCGGCGCTCTGGCCTGTAGTAAAATCGCTGCAATTGCTGTCGCGTCTTTTCTACCCCGAAGTGACCCGAGGTAATTATGTCATGTAACTCCTACAGCGGCAATTTACTAAGCAGTGAATACGCTACAACCCAGATGCGATAGGTACCTGCTTTTATGAAATATACTATCAGTTGCTGTAAAATTTCTTTTGTGAAAATGGGTCGGTGCGGTAACCATGGGTGAATAAGCATGTGAGTAGCGGGTTGGTTTGGGCGAGTAGGATGACGTGAAGTTGGGCAGTAGGGCGGGTGAGTGCTGCGGAGAGTCACTACACAACGGGAGTGGACTACGGAGGAGGGCACGGGGTTGTGCAGGTGATTGCAGCGCTCTAGTAACGTTCATGCTACTTGCTGTGTTCACAGAGAAGTTTGGCAAGAGTTCCACTAAGGAAAGTTGAAAGAACATTGAAACATTGAAAAGATTAGAGTACGATTGAGGCATGCAGAACGATATGACTAGAATGGCATGCAACACCTAGCAAGGGCGAAATCTGCCATCGCAGTAGAAGAGCGTCTTGCCAACGTTGCAACAGAGTAATCTGCCAGCGTTGCACTGCGCGCGGTCTGCCAGCACTGCAGACACATGTGATTATCTGCAGTCGCAGGTAACTATCTGCTATCGCAAGTTGTCTATCTGCGCAAATGTGCGCACCTATCAAGTAGGTGCATGTTGACGGTTTCAGCGCCAGGCACATTGTGCTGGTGCCAGGTAGAAAACGTGTTGTCGGTTTTGCCAGGTGCTAACCGCCGAACACGTGCTGCCGTTCCGCAGGTCGAACTTCGCCAAAACCTCTGAGCGAAGTTTAGCATGCCTCCGCATAGTTTCGCACACCTCTGCGACTTCGGTCGAAGAGCTGGATGCTGCTCGGTCAAACAGCGTTCGCCGAGCAGAGCTTCTCGACCAGAACTCTTCGACCAGAGTTCTTCGACCAACGCTCTTCGACGGGCCTCGTCAACCGGAACGTCTCGACGGGCTTCGTCGATCGCTGTCTTCGACCAGCGTTGCCCGTCAACGACATCGACCAGATTTCGTCGAGCCGAGCCTGCTCATCCGCAACTTCCGTCGAACTGTAGAAGCCCATTTCTTTGACCAATTCGTCGAGAACTTCCCGTCGACAGCGAGATCAGCTACTCCTTAGTGAGGGCGGGGCATTTCTCTTCGACATGCCCAAGCGAAGGCGGATTGTTGTGATGTTCTGTTGTGAAAAATGGGTCGATGCGGTAACCATGGGTGAATAGGCCTGAGAGTAGCGGGTTGGTTTGGGCGAGTAGGATGGTGTAAAGTTGGGCATAAGGCGGGTGAGTGCGTCAGCGATACTTGATGCCCCCTCTTTGTACGTGAATGTGTAGTGGAAGTTGGACTCTAGTCCAACCATCGGATCTGTCACGGATTGAGGTTCGATTGGGCGCGTAAGTACTATAGTGATATGTGGTCTGTCCGTACTATCACGTCGGCTCCAGTGAGGTAGCATCGCCACATTTTGAACGCATGTACAATGTCAGAACTATACTCTAGGCTGTAGTGGGGCACTCCTTATGGGGTACAGCCCTGTTAGGTTTTGCCTATACAAACCTTGTACTATTCTCGTTCTAGTCATTCCTTGTTCTAAACTCTCACATGGTTTCAGAGCAGGTTCCCTTGTGGGAACGTTTTTTTTAGGGCCCACTACGAACTTTTTTTTCTGCCCTGCCCGAAGCGCACTGCCGTGCCTGCCTGCCCCGTCACGCGCCTTGCGCCTGCCTACCCGTGCCTTAGAGCGCCTGCCCTGCCTGCGCCCTCGAGCGCCTGCCCTACCCGCGCCCTCGAGCGCCTGCCCTACCAGCGCCCTCGAGCGCCTGCCCGTTCGCCCTGCCCTGCAGGCCGCGCGCGGCCCTGCCCTGCACCCGCGAAGCCGCCCCTGGACCCGCGGCGCTGCCCCTGGACCCCGCGTCGCCGCCCTTGGACCCCGCGACGCCGCCCCCTGGACCGCGCGACGCCCCTGCGGGACTCGCGCGGCGCCGCTCCTGCTCGTCGCGACGCCCCTGCGTGTCAGAACATTGTAGCTTATGCTGTTGTGTAGGCTATAGTGGGGTATCCCATAGGGGGTACAACCAATTAGGGTTTCATATTTGTACTCACTTCATTTCATAGTTCATCCATTCTTGATCAAATGTTCTCATGGTATCGAGCAGGTTCCCCCTTGGGAACTGTGCTTAGGGCCCACCACATCGATTTTTTTTTTTCCTGCCCGAAGCGCGCTCAGCCCCGAGTCGCGCTCCGGGCCCTCACTTCGTCGAGCTGCCCTAGCGGCCCTTCACTGCGGCCCCGCCACCCGTCTCAGCGGCCCCGCCGCCCGTCTTCGCGGCCCCGCCGCCTCTCTCCTAGCGGCCCCGCCGCCCTACCTAGCGGCCCCGCCGCCCTACCTCGCGGCCTCGCCGCCCTATCGCGCGACCCCGCCGCCCTACCTAGCGGCCCCGCCGCCCCATCGCGGCCCCGCCGCCCCATCGCGCGGCCCCGCCGCCCTACCTAGCGGCCCCGCCGCCCTTCCTCGCGGCCCCGCCGCCCCATCGCGCGGCCCCGCCGCCCTACCTAGCGGCCCCGCCGCCCTTCCTCGCGGCCCCCGCCGCCCCATCGCGCGACCCCGCCGCCCTACCTAGCGGCCCCGCCGCCCTTCCTCGCGGCCCCGCTGCCCCATCGCGCGGCCCCGCCACTCTACCACGCGGCCCCGCTGCCCTATCTCGCGGCCCCGCCGCCCTACCCAGCGGCCCCGCCGCTTCTCTGCGGCGGCCCCTGCCGCCCTATCAAGCGGCCCCGCTGCCACTCCTCTACAGCGGCCGAGCCGCCCAGCAGCAGAGCAGCCGAGCCGCCCCGCCGCCGAGCCGCGCTGCAGCCGAGCCGTCCGGCCGCCCACCAGCCGAGCCGCCCGACAGCAGAGCAGCCGAGCCGCCCAGCAGCCGAGCCGCCCTGCAGCCGAGCCGCCCTGCAGCCGAGCCGCCCAGCAGCCGAGCCGCCCAGCAGCCGAGCCGCCCAGCAGCCGAGCCGCCCAGCAGCTGAGCCGCCGAGCTGCCGCGCCGCCCTCCTTCCGGGCCGCCCGACCTGCCCTGTCTGGTGAGCACAGCGCCTTTCCACTGCACTGCCCTCACCCTACTGTTTGCGCTGCTAGTCGTCTAGGGTCATGGCCACCCCTAGTGTTCTCGTCTTTGACGGTGAGGGTCGGGCCGTTGACTTTGAGGTCTGGATAGATGACCTGCAGCTGTTCTTACAGTGCGATAGGGCAGACGGCCTCTCTCTCTTGACCCCACCTCTGGCGCCTCCACTGCCCCTGCTGCTGATGCTGACGCCACTGTTCGCTCCCAGTGGGCCACGCGCGACGCTGCTGCACGTCTTGCTGTGCGTCGCCACCTCCCTACCTCCGAGCATGCGCACTTTTGTCAGTACAAGAGTGCTCAGACCTTGTACGACGCTGTAGTTGCGCGCTACTCCTCCCCTGCCACTGCTGCACTGAGCCGTCTCATGCTACCGTACCTCTTTCCTGACCTTGCTGCCTTTCCCACAGTCGCTGACCTCATTACGCACCTCCGCACTAGTGACACTCGCTACCGAGCTGCACTCCCTCCTGACTTCTGCGCCAAGAACCCCCCCCCCATGTACATCACTCTTTACTACATAGTCACTCGCCTTCCTGACTCCCTTCGCGTAGTCAGGGACCACTTTCTCTCTGTCTGTCCTACCACTCTCACTGTTGACCTCCTCGAGAAGTCCCTCCTAGCGGCCGAGAAGAGCATAGTCGCTGTAGGGGCCTCTCGTGGTGACCCGCGCACCCCCATCTTTGAGGGGTGTTCCCCCTCCCCCCTTCTGCCCTCTGTTGCCTGTGCTGCTGCGGCCCGACCTCCTTGGTCTTGAGTCGGTCGGTTGTGGCGTCTGCCCCTAGCGGGAGACGCCGCTCTGGCAAAGGCAAGGGGGGCAAGGGCGCTGGAGGAGCGAGCGGGGGCGGTGGAGGTGGAGGTGGCGGCAGTGGGGGGAGTGGGGGTGGTGGTGGGGGTGGAGGGGTCGGTGGCGGCAGTGGAGGCGGAGGTGGCGGCGGCGGTGGCGGTGGGAGCGGAGGTGGCGGAGGAGGCGGCGGTGGAGGCGGAGGCGGAGGCGGCGGCAGTAGCGGAGGCGGCGGAGGCGGCGGGAGGCAGCGGGGGTGGCGGGTGGTGCTGGTCGCGGGTCTTCGCAGAGGAGTGGCTCCGGTGGTGGCTCGCGCCAGCAGCTGCAGCGTGGTCGTGACACCCTGTCCCCTCAGCAGCTTCGTGAGTGGTACACTGCGCGTCAGCGGGGTGGGGGTTTTGGTCCGTGCTCCTACGTTTTGCGCACCGGCGACCGTGCGGGTGAGCAGTGTGGGGTGCCCACCTCACCCAGCGCTGCTTTGGCCGCCTGACGGACGCGTGGCGTCACCAGTTCCCGGAGGCCTCAGAGATCCCTCGCTGGGGCGAGCTGTCCAGGGCGGGTGTTGCCATCTATGATCTTGACTTTGATGCTATTCTCTCTGCCATGTATGCTGTGTCTATTAGTGATGAGGGTGACTGTTACCGGTGTTTCCCGCCCGATCCGGGCATTGAGACTGCTGCGCTAGGTCCTGGTGAGGCTGCTGCCCTAGGTGCTTGCGACGCTGCTGCTCTAGGTGCCCGTGTATCTGCGTCCTCAGGTACTGGTGAGTCTGCGCTCTCAGGTACTACGTCGGCTTCGGCCTCCCTCACCTTCACCCTTGACTCTGGGGCGTCTCGCTCCTTCTTTCGGGACTGCACCACACTCACACCGCTGAGTCGGCCGGTTGCAGTGTCTCTGGCTGACCCCTCTGGGGGTCCTGTCCTGTCTCGCTTCTCCACAGTCCTCCCGTGTCCGGCGGCTCCCTCTGGCACCCTGTCTGGTCTCTACCTCCCCTCGTTCTCTACGAACCTGGTGAGTGGTGCTGACCTCCAAGATGCGGGTGTACACCAGTTCACTCCTGCGCATCAGCGGGTGACGCACTGTACAGAGGCTAGCACAGGCCGACACCTGGCTACGTTTACTCGTCAGCCGGGGTCGAGCCTGTACACTCTGACCACTGCGTCTCCTCCAGTTGCTGAGTCTGGTAGGGTAGCTACGTCGGGTCAGGTGTTTGCTGCGGCGTCCAGGTCTGGTCCTGAGTCTGCCCCCTGTTCGTGTCGTCTCCTGTCTCACGAGACTCTCCTCTGGCACCACCGCCTTGGCCACCCCTCTCTGCTTCGGCTCAGAGGTATGGCCTCCCGTCTTCTTGTGTCCGGTCTCCCCCGGTCCCTCCCTCCCCTTCCTCAGGGCCCTGGCCCTGCCTGTGTCCCCTGTGTCGAGGGGCGCCAGCGTGCTGCCCCTCACTCCTCCCAGTTCCCTCCGACAGAGGCCCCGTTGCAGACACTTCACATGGATGTGTGGGGCCCAGCCCGCGTCCGTGGACAGGGTCACGAGCGCTACTTCCTGCTCGTTGTTGACGACTACTCGCGTTACACCACAGTCTTCCCCTTGCGCAGCAAGGGTGAGGTCACTGAGGAGCTGATCGACTGGATCCGCGCAGCTCGTCTCCAGCTCAGGCAGAGCTTCGGCTCGGACTTTCCTGTTCTGCGTCTGCACTCGGACAGAGGCGGAGAGTTCTCCTCTGGCCTTCTGCGTGCCTACTGTCGTGCACGGGGCATCCGTCAGACCTTCACGCTTCCGGACTCACCGCAGCAAAATGGGATTGCTGAGCGCCGCATTGGCATGCTCATGGACGTCGCTCGTACGTCTATGATGCATGCGGCTGCCCCCCCATTTTCTGTGGCCGTTTGCGGTGAGGTACGCGGCGCATCAGATCAACCTCCACCCCAGGGTCTCCAGGCCGGAGACCTCCCCAGCCTTGCTGTGGACGGGGAAGGTTGGCGATGCGTCGGCGTTCCGGGTCTGGGGATCTCGGGCGTTTGTCCGCGACCTGTCTGCGGACAAACTATCCCCTCGTGCTGCTCCTTGCGTCTTCCTGGGGTTCCCCCCTGACGCGCCTGGGTGGCAGTTTTACCACCCCACCTCTCGCCGTGTTCTGTCCTCCCAGGACGTCACGTTTGACGAGTCGGTCCCCTACTACCGCCTCTTCCCCTACCGCACTCCGTCCCTCCCCCCACCCCCACTCTTCCTGGTACCAGGTCCCCCCCAGGTAGACCCCCTCCCCCCTCAGGGTCCTGCCCCTTCAGGTGTGTCCCACGTAGACGCAGTCGAGCCTGTCGAGGTCACTGGTGACTCTGGTGCTGCTGAGGGTTCTGAGGCTGGGGGTGCTGTGCCTGGGGGTGCGGAGCCTAGGGGTGCTGGGCCTGGGGGTGCTACGTCTGGGGGTGCTGAGCCTAGGGGTGCTGAGCCTGGGGGTGCTGAGCCTGGGGGTGCTGAGCCTGGGGGTGCTGAGTCTGGGGGTGCTCAGCCTAGGGGTGCTGAGCCTGGGGGTGCTGAGCCTAGGGGTGCTACGTCTGGGGGTGCTGAGCCTAGGGGTGCTACGCCTGGGGGTGCTGAGCCTGGAGGTGCTCCGCCTGGAGGTTCTCCGAGTGCTTCGTCTCGCCGGGAGCCACTTTCTCCACAGGAGCTGCGTGAGTGGTTTGCCCGGCGCTGGAGGCAAAGTTGACTACTTTCATACCTTCTCCCCCACCCCGAAGATGACCACTCTTCGGGTACTGCTGCACGTTGCTGCTCACCGTGACTACGAGCTGCACTCTCTTGACTTCAGCACAGCTTTCTTGCAGGGCAAGCCTGCACGAGGAGATCTGGCTGCGTCGCCCACCTGGCTTCACTGGGTCTTTCCCTCCTGGTACCCAGTGGAGTCTCCGGCGTCCAGTCTACGGTCTCCGCCAGGCGCCACATGAGTGGCACGGACACACTGAGGACTACGCTTGCGGCTCTGGGTTTGCTCCTTCTACTGCCGACCCGTCGCTGTTTCTACGCACCGACACCTCTCTGCCGCCGTTCTACATCCTCGTGTACGTCGATGACTTGGTCTTTGCCACAGCTGACACTGCTGGACCTCGCCTACGTGAAGTCCGAGCTGCAGAAGAGACACACGTGCACAGACCTGGGTGAACTGCGCAGCTACCTTGGCTTGCAGATCACCCGGGACAGAGCACGCCGCACCATTACCCTGACTCAGTCACACATGGTGCAGCAGGTCCTTCAGCGCTTCGGCTTCACGTACTCCTCGCCTCAGGCCACTCCTCTGTCTACTCGCCACTCGCTCTCAGCTCTGCCTTCGGATGAGTCCGTAGAGTCGAGTGGCCCGTACCCAGAGCTTGTTGGCTGCCTCATGTACCTGATGACCTGCACACGACCTGACCTTGCATACCCTCTTAGCATTCTTGCACGCTATGTTGCTCCTGGGAGACACAGACCAGAGCACATGGCTGCAGCGAAGAGGGTGTTGCGCTACTTGTGCAGTACGTCGGGCATGGGGCTAGTGCTTGGAGGGCGGAGTCCAGTGGTCCTCACTGGGCACGCGGACGCTTCTTGAGCTGACGACCAGGCTACGCAGCGGTCGTCACAGGGTTACACTTTCAGCCTTGGTTCCGGCTCTGTTTCGTGGCGGTCTACTCGCTCGTCTTCTGTTCTCAGCTCCAGTTGTGAGGCTGAGATCTACCCTGGGGCCATGGCTGCACAGGAGTTACGCTGGCTCACCTACATGCTGACCGACTTGGGAGAGGCGCCTCGTTCTCCTCCAGTTCTGTACGTCGACAACAAGGCCATGCTTGCCTTGTGTAAGGAGCACAGACTGGAGCACAGAACGAAGCACATTGCTCTGCGCTACTTCCTTGCTCGAGAGTTGCAGCAGCGTGGTCAGCTTCGTCTTGCTTACGTGGCCACTCGGGCCAACACTGCTGATATCTTTACCAAGGCACTTCAGCCTTGTGATCATCAGCGTTTTTGTACTATGTTAGGTCTTGTGCCTACCTGGCCTCACTTGCTCACCTCTTGACTTTGCTTGTACTGTGATCTATATATACCTGCACCTGCATGCTTACACATGCTAGGTTGTGATCACTGTATTACTTGTTCTCCTCTTTATATAACTCTGCATGTGAACTGGCCTGGTGGCCTTTTGCTTGTGCTCAAAATGCGTGGTGACGTCGTGATCCACCCTGAGCTTGATCTTTACTTTGTTATTTTGCCTGTCCCCCACTTTGCCTATGGGGGTGTGTCAGAACTATACTCTAGGCTGTAGTGGGGCACCCCTTATGGGGTACAGCCCTGTTAGGTTTTGCCTATACAAACCTTGTACTGTTCTCGTTCTAGTCATTCCTTGTTCTAAACTCTCACTACAATCAACAGCATTTCGCGGTCGTCTATCGGTTTGTTGCGTTCGGGCGGGTGAAGCTAGGGGGACTCGTAGGCTGAAGTTCGTTTCCAAAGTCCTGCAACTGTACTCCTCCTACAGCGATGTCGCTTGCGTCGGTGACCAGTTCGAACAGGCGGTGTAGGTCGGCGATACGCAGGACGGCCGGCGAGCACAAAATTTTCTTGAGGGCCGAGAAGGCAGCTTGCTATTTCTCCCTTCACGTATGCTCTAAACCCTTCCTCAGCCTATCGATCAGTGAGGCAGTCAACGGTGCCATGTCGGAGACGAACCGACGCACGTAGTTGACGAAACCTAAAAATAATCTGCAGCTCGGTCAAGTTGGTTGGCGCGTGTCAGGCTTGAATCGTCGTGATCTTCCTCGGGAGACGTCTGATCAAAACGGTTGTCGAACTGCTCTTGAATTTGGCTCGATTTGCCCCGTCAAAATAACTGTCTTCAAACTTCACTTCTGCCAAACTCCCCTGCTGACTCTCCTCGTGAACGTTCGCGACTTTCTCATGCGCAATCATAAACGCTCGTGTGAGATTACGGTTTTCACGAAGTCTCACAGTTGAAAAACGGTTTTCACCGTTTTTTTTTCTCCTGTATCGAAATTGACCCTTTACGCGCGCGATCTTTCCAGCGAAGTTACTTGTAAGCCGAGTCAACGCGGGATACGGTTTTTCAACCGTAATCCCGAGCACCCCCACGACTGCAATCATACACGACCGATATTTCGGTCGTGCTGTACAGTGCACTGTACTGCGCGTGGGCAGGGCGATCATCGCCCTGTCCTGTTACGATCGTGGGCCATGCCACGCTCGCAACAGTGCGAGGGCACACGCGCGGGCTTGATGGCCCACACTCACAATCAGGACCCCCACCAGGCCTGTCGAAGTTCCTGGGGCCCATACTTGCGCTCCCCAGCTCCTCCCCATCTGACCCTGTTTTGGGTTGTAGCTGACCGTTTGGGCGCCCTTAACAATCACGGGCGCACCCCAAAGTGAAAACTTGAAATTCGGGCCTGTGAAGAGTTTGCACTTAGACGCTACGGGAAATTTGGGTGCTCCAAAGCTGACTAAGACACTTTACAAACACAGGATTGGCTAGAAAATGCTAAGGGAAAAATCCACTCCTCTCGCGCAACCTTAGGAGAAAGAGGGGGGG